AAACACCCTGGCGTTTAACTCCATTCATAAAATTATATAATTCATCTAAAATTCCCATAGTTTTTTTAATTTCATTCCCATATCCACATATACGAATAACAATTAAATTAAGCCTATGAGCATGGCACCAGACATAAATGGCTTTAGGAGCTTCTTTAAATATTAAAGCCTGTACTCCCTTATTAACACCTATCATATTACTAGCACATCTTTGCCCAATCAGGTATTCTAGTGGAAGATGTAATGCCTTTAATTTAGTTAGAACATTATTTTTAATATTTTCTCCTGTTGTGTCAGAAGTTGTAAAAATATTAATGATTCTTTCTACTGGGTGTGGGTGTGGATATTCTTGTATATTATACCTTATAATTAAAGCAACACATTCTTTTTTTGAAATATCATATGTACCATCTAATATTAAGCTAAAGGCACAATTTGACATAATTTGTTTAATTATTTCATTCAATATTCTTATTGTCTCAGCCAATTTTTTAACATGGCCATAGGATATGAAGTTTATTTGTGGCCTTAATATTTTATTACCACTTTTTCCTCGTGAACTACTATTTTTCTCTAGATATGCTCTTAATACTGGAACATTCTTTGAGATCAAAATTATAAGTCTTGAAAAATTACCATTTTGAGAATTGCTTCCCCAAAAAGCAATATTGTCCCGTATTAAATACACAATAGCATCAATTATATTATGGATAATATAACGATTTTGGGTTATAATTTCCTCTTGGTTGAATAAAATGTGGTCATCCATACGCCCCCGAGAAATCCATGCTATATTTGCATATTCACAATCTGCATGAACAGGGGATGTTTCATGTCTCTCCATATCCCGGACTAAATTATTCCAGCTATCTGCACCTTTATGAGTCCATTGCATGCTTGCTTGATGACTTCCAAACATAATACAGAAGATACAGAATACTTTATCAAAATAGAGCTATAGATTTTCTTTGAGAAAATGATTTGTCATAATTTATTTTTTTATAATAGGCATCTTTCATGCTCCTACATATAAAAGCAATATATGAATGTATTCATAATTCTTGAATAATTTATAATATATAAGTTATATTGCAACAATAATTTATTAAACAAACCTGTTATGAGTTTTTGGATAAATAAATTCATTGGAACTTGGTTGTAGTGGGCCAAATTGAATTATAAAATCAATCATATTTTTTGTCATTCTAAATCTAAAAAAATAAAAGGGATCATTAGGATTCTTTTCCCTATATAAAGAAATAATATTTTCTTCATTATTTTCCAGAGTTGTTAAAGTATTTAGATCCTGTATCTAGATATAAAAATGTGGTACCTGTATCTAGATAGATTTTTGATTAAAATACCGGTATCTAGATATTATTTTAGACGATGTATCTGTATCTAGATCCATTTAAAAAGTATCTTTTAACAACTGTTATTTTCATACGATAAAGGAGTTATTTTAGCTTTGCTTGGTAACTATAATTTAAAATGTATAGATAGCTTAAGGTTAATTTTTTAAATAATTATAATACCCATGTTTCATCATCTAAGAATGGAATAATATCTGGATAGGGGGCATCTAAATGAGATTGCTATTAATTTTAAATATAAAAAATGGTCATTTTTAATATTTTGAAATAATTACTACTTTGTCCTTAAAAATGAATGCAGTCTCCATATTATAAGTTTTCTTGGAATAATTTAGTCCGGGATATGGAGAGACATGAAACATCCCCTGTTCATGCAGATTGTGAATATGCACATATGGCATGGATTTCTTGGTGGTGTATTGATGACCACATTTTATTCAAGCGAGAGGAAATTATAACCCAAAATCCTTATATTATCAATAATATAATTGATGCTATTGTGTATTTTATACGGGGCAATATTGCTTTTTGGGGAAGCAATTCTCATGATGGTAATTTTTCAAGACTTATAACTTTGATCTCAAAAAATGTTCCAGTATTAAGAGCATATCTAGAGAAAAATAGAGATCACGAGGAAAAAGTGGTAATAAAATATTAAGGCCACAAATAAACTTCATATCCTATGGCCATGTTAAAAAATTGGCTGAGATAATAAAAATAAAAATATTGAATGAAAATTAAACAAATTATATCAAATTGTGCCTTTAACTTAATATTAGATGGTACATATGATATTTCAAAAAAAGAATGTGTTGCCTTAATTATAAGGTATATACAAGAATATCCACACCCACACCCATTAGAAAGAATCATTAATATTTTTACAACTTCTGACACAACAGGAGAAATTATTAAAAATAATGTTCTAACTAATTAAAGGCATTACATCTTCCACTAGAATACCTGATTGGGCAAAGTATGGATGGTGTTAGTAATATGAGAGGAGTTAATAAGGGAATACAGGCTTTAATATTTAAAGAAGCTCCTAAAGCTATTTATGTCTGGTGCCATGCTCATAGGCTTAATTTAATTGTTATTTGTATATGTGGATATGGGAATGAAATTTAAAAAAACTAAAAGAATTTTAGATGAATTATATAATTTTATGAATGGAGTTAAGCGCCAGGGTGTTTTTACCAAATTTAAAATGCAAAAAACCAAGAAATATCTCAAAACAAGGTAAATATGTAAAAATAATTTAAGCATTTTATTTATTTTCAGAAATTGGGCATCATCTTTCAGAGCATTAGAATTTTTTTTAGATGTTTATGAATATATAATAGCCTCTATGACAGAGTTAAGCAATTCCGATTACGCAATCACATTTTCAATTTTTGAGGGATTGATTATTTATTTTGAGAATAATTTTAAAATGTACACATGAAACTTGCATTGAAATGCAGGCAATTGGAAATGATTTAGCAATGGTCATTAAATAGATCCAACATACAAAAAATAAATGATTAAGGGGTAAATTATTATTCATGTATTTTAATTACATTTTCTAATTAAGCAAGTGGTGATAATATATTAACATCATTACATAACGATGTTAAATCATTTATGGGTAAGAATAATGTTACAACCGATATTTATAATATTAAGTCAATATTTAGGATCAAAATGAGTTTGATAATTATATTGAACAACAAAAAGAAAAGTTTGTGACAAGTATATTTTAAAATATATATTTTTTTAGATATAAAAATGGAAATTTTTACAATATGATGATTGAACAATTAAATGAAAGATTTAATTATTTAATTCTGCAAGATTAGCAGATAATGAGAATATAGAAATTTCTAAGATATCTGAAATTGTGTTTATATAATTTTGATGCACAGAAAATTATAGATGAATTTTCTTAGACCATTATACTTAGATTCCTTATCTATTATTTTTAGTAAAGATTAAATCAATATTAGAAAAAATGATACCTTATATGATGAAAGTTATTAATTTTATTAACAATTATAATATATGTTTACAGGTGAAAACATTATAAATGATAGTAAAATGACCGAAACAAATAGATGGCTGAAATATTCATTTATTCTACCATATAGATTATTAATTAAATCAAGTTCTTTTCCTTATCTTAAAAAGTTATATAAATATCTTACCATCCCCACCACCTCATTCTCTGCTGAAAGAGCTATGAGTAAAGTCAAAATTGTTAAAACACATATTCGAAATAAAATCTCTGATTCTTTTTTAGAAATTTTTTTATTAACATCAAGTGAAATTGATATATATGATACATTTAAAACAGAATATATTATTACAGATTTCGCGTTAACTTCTAAAAGACTATCTAATCTTTTAATTGGATAATCCTTTTTTTTTAATATTAAACAGCAATAAATTTAGACATTTGGCATTATAATTCCCTTTTTTCAATATTTGAGTAAATTTGGATTACTAGTCCCTTATTAGTTAGTCATTTTTAATTAGTCTTTTTCTGCACATATATTTATATTCCTTGTGTTATATATATCTTTAACATTAAAAAAAATTATTATGTAGCAATTATAATATCCATTTTTTTTAAATATTAAATAGCAATAAATTCAGACATCTTGCATTATAATTCCCTTTTTTATTTGAATAAATTTGGATTACTAGTTCCTTATTAGTTAGTCATTTATAATTAGTCTTTTTCTGCACACATATTTATATTCCTTATGTTATATATATTTTTAACATTAAAAAAATTATAAATAAAATGAAATTATTATGTGGAAATTAAAATATATAATTTTTTAAATTTCGATAATTTTTATACCTATAAATATTCTCCCTGTAATCTATATATTATTATTTCATTAAATATTCAGACATATATTTATAAAATTATAATTAATTCTATCGTAATAATGCTGCCTAAGGTGGCCAATTTTTTTAGGGGGGTAAGCTGAGGTTTTTGAGGGGGGTTTCCATACAGTGAAAATTCTGTCATGTAGACGCTGGAATTATCTTACCTATATCAGTTTTATTCTTTAACTTTTTAAGATAGAAGACACTAGGGTTAAATGGCCCTGATTTGCCTTCCCTATCTTCCCTAGAGGAATTAAAAAATTTTTAAATTAGAAAATAAAAATGATATTAATGGAATTTTATTTTTGGATCAATAAGTGCTAATAATCTAGTCAATCTCACCTTTTCATTATAAGCCATAATTATGGTGGAACATATGAATACAATAATATTGTTCGACAAATCAACGTGCAGTCTACAATAGGTTTACAATAGACTCCTACATACGCACCTTTTTAAATATATATATTTTAATGAATGATTCGTCAATCTAGTTGGTATATAATATATCATTAGTTCGGATACAATTTTATCATTAGAAATATAAACATATCCCAGTAAGCTCCATTTTGACGAGGATACGTCATGGTATTTCCGTTTTATGCCAAGTTAATATCTTGACTGGGATTGATTCAGAATTTGAATTCCTTTTGGCCTAGTTTCAAAATAGAATGCAGTTATCCCGGTTTCCTATATCATATAATTAAATATATAAATAAAAAAATTTCTTCAACTTTTATATCTATCCAGACATGGCTTCATAGTTACTCCTCCCTGTTTAGCGCTACTTGTCATAAATGTCAAAAGCATTTGAGAGATTTCTTACCTCCCACCTGGAGGGACTTCAGAACGTTAGAACCATACCACGAGTTTTGTAGGTTTTGATTATATTTCTTCTATATAGTTTTTTTTGTTATACACGATTAAATTATTTGTAAATAAACCATTCCGGAATATTGTTAGTTTATCGAATACATTTACTGAAATTATTATATGTACACATTTTTCATGATTAATGCAAAAAAATTTAAGAATGAAAAATACAAAAAATTTTGTGTCACCATCTTTATCTAAGAAAAGTTTAGATCATGTATAGCATAAACAATTATCGAAATTGTTGATTTCATGGTTATTCAATGTAAAACAATATGTTAGGGTTCGATTTAAACCCGAATTCCTGTACTTCAGAATTTAAATGTCACTGACTAAATTAGCTCGATTAATTACTTGAATCTTAACGAGTTAATGTGGTTTTTTTTAAATATATTAATTAAATTAAATATTTAAAAGAATTGAACTTCTTCGAACCCCTGTTTGCAGCTTTATGGGTCTAAGTTTTTTTCTTAATATTTTCTTTTAAATGTTCGGGTACAACAATAAGGCGGTTCAAACCTGGCACGAAGTTTATTATGATTCCGTTAGTGTTGTTAAAAAGCCCGATTCGGTGGATTTTGCTAGTTATGTTATACGGCTTGTTTGAGCCGATTTTTAAAAACGGCTAACTCAATATTTTATCCAGAATAATATTACGCAAGCCTGAAAATTTTGTTTGTAGAAGGGACAACGGTTTGGACATCTATTACCGAAATCTTGAGGCTTAGGTAGTATTTTTCTAGTTAAAATATTGAGTTAGCCGTTTTAAAAATCGGCTCAAAACAAAACGTTTAACAGCACTAATCCCTGAAGATTTTGCTCTTAGCTGGCAGAAATGTCACGACATCCATTTGCCAAATCTCGATTAAATAATAATTAGTTTATCTAAAATCTCAATCCGCCGTTTTGAAAAATCGGGCTTTTTACCGACACTAGATTACAATTTATGAATAATTGTAAAATGATATAACCACACCTTTTTAAAAACTCGTTCTAGAGCGACCTTTTTCGAAAAACGTAAGGTGTCAGGAGTAAATACTATATTTAATTTTTATTTAAAGAATTTGTGAGTGCTAAGAGATGTAAGAGATCAATTATTTTTCGGAAAAAAAAGAGCTGTTTCACATTTGTTATATTAATTATTTTAAATTATATTTTATATTCCTCCTGAATGCTTGTACTCATATATATAATCATCTTTTATCGTTATATCTTACTTTACTTGCTATACTAAATTATAATATATGAATCTCCTGCAAAAATAATAAACGGACCGGGCAATTTATATAAAAATATTTTACAGTCCGGGAAATTAAATAATTTGAAGGCAATGGTCAAAGATTTTCCATACACTCTTAAAACATATGTTTAAAAAAATTGACCCCCCGCCCCTCTCCTTCATGAAAACTGTTCATAAAAACCTTTAAAATGATATAAAACACCATTAATTAAATTTTATCTATTTTTTTAAATATATGGAGAATACTTTCATTATTTTTGTCTAATGGTTTCGGAAATACCCCATCACATTAGGTCCCTCTTTTTAGCCCATTCATATGCTCGATTAGGCTTAAAATTTTGGATTTAAAAAGTGTGTAATTCAAGAAACATGAATGCATTATGGATTTCATCTATATTGTAATAAAAATAAATTTTAATTAGATATCAATTAACTGTACAGGAGAAGTCTTTTTGTTATAGAGAGCTTTTCGAGAATTATAATAATTTTTTCCCATTAAATTTGTACCTTGCGTTAATATTTTGGGGGGAAATAGTGGCAATTACTTTAATTAAATACTGCTTTTAACTATACTTGTATTTTCATATTTTTTACCCCATCTAATCGAGAGATTGTATTGTTTTTAAAAATAATTTGTTTTCTCATTAAATTTTGTGAAATGAATTAAAGTGTTAACATTTCGATTTTACTCCATTTCAAAATAAACGAATATTAAATTGAAAATAATTTAAAGATCAACAAATAATTTATTTTTATTCGACACCTGTAAATAGATACCAAGTTAATATTTCCTTGTTCTTAACTAGAAATATAATTATTAATGGAGGGGGGGGGGGTAGTGATAAGTAAATTACGATAAATTAGCTGGGTTATACAGTAAATTGGTTGAAACCACAAATAGAGACGAAAATATCTTAACTTATGATGCTTGAGTAGTGATAAAAGTTATATGATACCTGTAGGAAGTAAACTAGTCATTTAAAGATGTTAAACTTATTATTCGTTAATTTCAAGTTCTAAATAAATAAAACTAAGAATAATAATAAGAATACCTTAAACATTTTGTTATCGTTGTACAGTATATAATTTTAAATTAATTAAATATTCATATCACATATTTTAAAATGCCATAACCGCCTAAAAACATTCACTTTGATTATATGTACAATTTAATTTGCATGATTATTTAAAATATTCTAATTTTAAATCAAGAAAAACCCTCCTAAAAAATTCAAATCTTATGTACATTTTTAAGTGATATTCTTCCAGAAATCAAAGTTATTATCCTTACTACATTTTCAACAATTTACTATTTCTAAAACTTCTATTTAATCTTACCTATCCTGTCAGGTGATCTGCCAAATATGACAGTAAGTAAATAAATTGCCAATCTTCAAATTTTAGCAAAATTACAATAAATTACTATGGTATGCAAAATTTAAAAAAATCTGAGTTTCATTACATAGGGCTAAAATTGTAGAATAATTAAATTTTATATTTTATAATATTTTTTCGATTTAGAAAGTTTGATACTCCTAATATCAGTTTAAATCTTCCTCAATTTAAATATTTGTTATCACAATGTGTTATGAAACAATTATTTGGTGAGACAGGGGAAGGAACACACATTGATATATTATGCTATGATAAAAACCTATTAACAGCTATCATTAAAATATATACTCGGTTAAACATATTTTATTTGAAATATTTTGAATTATTCAACAATTAAATTTCTAACCAAGTATGCCTTCATTTATATTTATTTAAATTATATTTAATACATAATGTTTCCTAATCCTCCAGAAATTGTTACTTAAAGTTTTACAATACTAGAGTGGGGTTGGTATATTCTGTGAATTAATTGTATAAATAAAAGGAATCAAAAAGGTAATTATTTAAAAATTTTAAAAAATGAGAATAGAGAATTTAAAGTATAAAAGGCTTTATTAAAAAGTAAAAATTATATAATACATATGTTACAAGATAAACTATTAAAAAAAATAATATAATCTATGAATAAATTGAATAAAAATTATATAATACATTTGTTGCAAGATAAACTTTAAAAAAAAATAAGATAACCCATGAATAAATTGAGTAAAATTTATATAATACATATGTTGCAAGATAAACTTTAAAAAAAATAAGATAACTCTTGAATAAATTAAAATTACATTTTAAAAAAGTATTTTGCTAAGTTTTTAATTATATAAATTGTTAAAATATTTCTTTATCACATGCTCATACTGTAATCTCCTTAGATCAACAAACAAATAAAAGCCTGCCAGTGACCTTTACACTTTATTAGCAATGGAAGCAGAGTACCCCCCCCCCTTTAAAAAATCAACAAAATAATTATGGTTTAAAATTTTAAAAAAGACATATAATTATGATTATAATTAATACCTTTTTTTTAAATAGAAATTTGGTCAAAATTTGGGCTGCCTTAACTCTCTTTGGTAATTACAATAACCATAACTGTGTCTTTATAATTGATAAAGTAATTATGCTATTTAAAAAATTTTATTTTTAAAATAAAACTATCAAGGTAACTCCAATATTGAAAGAGATATCTAATGAAATTACTGATAATGAAAATGATGATTGATTTTTTACAATTTTATAAATAATCAAATCAATGATTTTATTTATTATATCCAATATATTGTTAAATAGTCTTATTTATTATATGATGATATATGATATATTTAATTAAATCATAAATATAAATTTACTTATTTATATTATTTTTATTAAATATAATCATTATATTTTTTTGATAAATTTTAATCTTGGATACGATATATGTATTAAATGGCCTGATTTGAGCCTATTTTTAAAAACTTCTAACTCAATATTTTATCTAGAAAAATATTACGCAAGCCAGAAGATCTTGCTCATAGGTGGCAAAAAGGTCTAGACATAGCGAAATCTTGAGGCTTAGGCAATATTTTTCTGGCTTAAATATTGAGTTAACCATATTTAGAAATTGACTCAAAAAGAGTCTTAACAACACTAATTATGATATATAAATATTATATACACGTATATAGATGTATTAAAAATTATCCTATTAGAGGAGGGGGGTGGGCACTATTAGGTGGGTTACATTGGGAATGCGTAGGTCACCATTTAGTTTAAACTTTTGGCAATGTTATTTAAAAAATTAATAATTATTTTTCTTTTTTTGTAACAAGAGTGGGGGTGGGGCGTGCTGTGTAAGTAAATTTTTATTAGCTTAAGATGATATTTCATGAGATTATTCAAATTTTCCAGAGTTGTTAAAAGATAATTTTTTAAATGGATACAGATACATAGTCTAAAATTTATCTAGACACAGTTTCTAAAAAGTTATCTAGATACAGATACAATTTAAGGTATTTAGGTACAGATATATTTTTTATTATACTCTTAGATAAGGTTTGAATAAACCTAAATTAGGATTCTATTGTGAAAATTAATGAAATGATCTAAAAAATTTATTGACTCGATATCACATTTATCAAAATATAACTAAAATAATGATTTTTAGATATTAATATAATATATGATTAATATAAATAATTATTATATATCATTAATAATATAATATTAAATAATTATTAGATTTTAGTAATAAAATATTTTCAAAATTTTGGTTTAAGACATCCTCGTTTATCTGTAAAGACATTTTTAGCTATACTAAAAAGTCTTTCAATAGGAAAGCTGGAAGGGATTGTGGTGTTATATTTAATGAATAACATTTTTATATCAGGATATTGTTTAAAAATACTAAAATCTCGGCATTCATTTTTGAAAAAACTATTTAATATTTGTTGATTATCAGAATTTAAATCATTAACAATCATATCTCCTGCTGTGGGATACTGAAAAAAATCGGATATTAAATTATTGGTTTTT